CTTGGGGATCATCAAGATGTTTTCTGTCAAAACTGAGACAAGCCTTCGAGATGCATTGGCTTGCGTCTTTGAACTCTGCTATGCAGGCCTTTTTTGTTCAGTCTCTTCCCTATGGTCAAATCATGAACACTGAACTTAGCTGAGGCAAGTGAGGCCTGCAGTTCTTTGGATGTTGTTCTGGGGTTTTGTGTGACCTCTTGGACAAGTTGTTACTGCACTCTTGGGGTAAATTTGGTTGGCTGGCCACTCCTGGGAAGGTTCACCACTGTTCCATGTTATTGTCATATGTAAAAAAAAAAATGGCTCTCGCTGTAGTTCACTGGAGTCCCACAGCTTTAGAGATGGCCTTTCCAGACTGACATGAGACACTTTTTCACACAGGGCCATATAGATTTTGATAGAGGAATTTCATAGCATTTCAAACAAACATTCACATCCTCAAGATTAACTGTAATGATTTTTACAGGTGAGTTGGCCACTTAACTCATCTTTCCTTAGTTTGGTAATTGGTCGCAACAGTCTTAGCTTTTGAAGGAAACACTAAACACATTGACTTCTATTGAAATCGTGCTGTAGTGAAGAAGATATGAATTCAATAAAATTAAAGGTCTTCATTTTTTTAAGACCATACATTTTTTGTACATTTGTTTACTGAGGTAGTATAAGGTGGAACTAGTGAAGTAAACTCCTAATGGGTATTACAAAGATTGCAGATTATTACATTTATTTTCTGATCTGAAGGTTATGTAAATGCCACTACATGTGCCATGTATATCTAGTATAAGAAACTAATAAGCTAAATTATAGAGCTGATATGCTAAAGTAATATAATTAAATGGGTACTGGCTGTTCACTCTTGTTTATGAGAGAAGAGAGCGGAAGATCAACAGATGGATTGATGCTGTGGCTGTACTGATGCGGATGCACTACTAGTCTGTCATGGTGAAAAGAGAGCTGAGCGTAAAACTAAAGCTCTTGATTTACCGGTCAATGTTTGTTCCAGCCCTCACCTTTTAGGTGGCTGGCCTCTTCCTTACACATGGGGTGAGGAGTTTGGCCATCTGGGAGGGGCTCAGAGTAGAGCCGCTACTCCTCCACATCGAAAGGAGCCAGTTGAGGTGGTCCGGCCATGACATGGATGCTTTCTCCTGGCTGGGGTATTCCAGGCATGTCCCACCGGGAGAAGCTCCTCCGGCTGACCCAGGATATGCTGGAGAGATTATATCTGGAAGAGTTCAAGTACCTCAGGGTCTTGTTCGCAAGTGATAGGAGAAGGGAGCCGGAGATCGACAGACGGATTGGTGC